ATGGATGGGCAACGTGAACTTAGCAATGCTAATAAGGTTCATCTGATAGGAATATCTGATGCTCGTATATCTCAGTTTACGAAACAGAAGCTAGCAATACCTGGGATGTCTTTGTTTCGCGACGACAGAAAGAAAGGAATTAGGGGTGGGGTAGCCCTATACATACGATCCTGCCTGGAGGTACACCATGTTCACAACCATGAGTTTAACAATCCTGATGAATCTGTATGGTGCTCAGCAAGGTTGTCTACTACTTCGAGGTGCCTAGTCGGAGCCATCTATAGGATGGCCACTACTGACATCGAATATGACAGTCGTATGTTGGAAGGACTATCTCACTCTACGCGTCTCGGATTCACTCATATCCTGATTCTAAGGTACTTCAATCTCCCTAGAGTAAATTTCGCCAAACATACGTATATTGGAGGTAAAAATTCAAGTGGAGCTCAGTTTTTCAACCTCATTGAGGATCTGGGGTTTTACGAAAATGTGAAGTTGGCAACTCGTTGGAAAAACAGTCATGCCGTCGCGCTTACGCTGGGTATCTACAAACGAAGACTTTCTAGTTGACAACCTCTTAATCCTGGCTTCCCTGGGAAAGAGTGATCACGCCGTCATAGCCTTCAGTTTTGCCAGCAAAACTGAACTAAGATATCCCACCAACAACAGGCTCTGGAATTTCAAACGATTGAGTGTGTCCGCTCTGCAGGACGATCTTCAACAGGTGGACCGGGATGTTCACCATCAACCTGATGTGGTTGCTTATTATGGATTCTTACTGAACACGCTCTTACGAGCTACAAAGCAGTCAGCTCCTCAAACGGTCCTCAATAGCTACAAGCAACCTACAATCATCAAGAAACGCACTCTTTGCCTGCTCAGCCGCAAAAGGCGCTGTTGGCCAGAATAAAAACTGACAACAACGGCGCATACAGGCAATGCAAACGTATAAGGAACATATGCACGAAGGCTATAAGAGTAGACAGACTTCAGTATCAGATAAAGCTTATGGATAAACTTGTCTACAATCCGAAAAGCTTATTCCATTATGCAGCCTCTCTTCGTCCAGCTAAAACTGAAGTTTCCCAACTGCTAGGCCCTAATGGCCCGACCAAGAACGACGGCGACGCCGCCAACCTTTCGGCTGAACAATACTCTTGGACATTTCAACCGATCCACATCAACTATACTGATGACAGCTTCATCTGCAACCGCACGGGACTTCCGGAAGTGAACCTGAGCGCTGACTTGGTGTTCCGGAAACTGTGGCATCTAAGAAAAGACATTTCTCCAGATATGGTTCACTCTGCTATACTGAGGGAAGCAGCTACAATCCGAGCAACACCGCTTAGCGCGACGTTCTCACACTCTCTAAACCGAGGCAAACTACCGGAAATTTGAAAGCTGGCTCACATCACATCAAGTTTCAAAGGAATTCGACGCAGCGAACCTTCAAGTTACCAACCGGTGGCTCTTATCTCTATACCTCCAAAAATCATGGAGTCCCTGATATGCGATGATATACATGACGACTTACTGTCCTTAAATTTCTTCCCACCCCAGGAAGGGTTAATCTTGTATGATTAACCCGCTAACTGCGGTGGACAGATAAACAAGCATCCTTGATCGCAAGGGGAAGGTTGATATCATTTACCTTGATTTCTCAAGAGCTTCTGATAGGGTCAACCATACATGTCTTATCAATAAGCTCAAACAATTGGCTATCTGACCACCTCTAATTGATTGGCTCTTTTCATATCTGGAAAATCGGCACTTTAAGGTCAGGGTCAACTTCACTTTATCTCAGGCTATGGAGTGTCCTAGTGGGGTCCTCCAGGGCTCAGTATTAGGATCTCTTCTCTTCTTGATTTTTATAAATGATCTTCTACAACAGGTGTCGTCAGACTTATTACTTTTTGCTGATGACGTGAAACTTTGGAGAGAGATACGCAACCAAAAGGATATATAGGCAGTTCAGGAGGATCTGACTTGACTTCAAAGTTGGGCAGACGATAACGGACTTACCTTTAACACCTCAAAGTGTAAAGTAGTTCATCTGCGACATGTTGCAGACTACAGTTACAACTTAAAAAACCCCTTTCAAGTAGTATCCCGAGTCGAACAAAATCTAGTAGTCCTAATACCCTACGATTTAAAGTCCTACGCTAACTGTGACAGAAATGCCTTTCCAGCAAACCCTGCACTGATAACATTGAAGCGCATTTTTGGCCAGCTTGACGGAAGAACTTTCCACATAATCTTCAACAGTCTAATTCGTCCACATTTAGAGTACGGAAAAATAGTATTTCCTCCCTCACTCCTAAAGGATAAGGACACTTTGGAGCGTATCCGACGACGAGACACGTAATCAGTTCGGGGACTCAAATTCAAACCTTATGAACAGCGTCTCCAATTACTTGTAGTGTGGCGTCGAGTCGCGTTGACTATGATCACCACTACAGGTAGACTACGTGCCAGTTGACCGATAAGATCCCCCGTAGGCAAAATATCAGAAGGCAATTGACGGCTGTAGTCGAGATGTATTTGTTGGCGATCTCGTGGTATCTAAAGAACACCGAGACCGAGCCAGGTTACAAGTATGCTTACTGAGTGTAACCGAATCCGTGCAAGGTCACGATCAACAGAAAGAAGAATGTATTTAGTACGGTTAAAAAAACAAGTACAGTGAAACAGTCACTGGTACAATTTGTTATAATAATAATTGTTTCCATTAAACTAATCATGTTCTCTTGATGAAAGTAGGTTACTACACACTTAACCTTTATCCATTAGAGTATAGGCATCTTAGGAGTGACTTTTTAGTGGCTTACAGTATTCTTAATACTTCGGGATATCCCCTTAAACACCTACTCAAGTTTAGCTTCAACACAAACTTAAGGGGTAACACCCAGAAATTGGAGATAAAGAATAGCAGAATGGACTGTAGGCACAACTTCTACTCTATAAGATTTTTCAAATGCTGGATTTTGCTACTGACTGAACTGATCCAAGCGACTTTCTAGGAGTCATTTAAGAGGAAACTTGACCTATTTCTAAGGACTAAAAATAACATCGTATTATGGTTTACCAATTTCTTTTTTTCTTCTATTATCGTTGATATACCTAGGTTCCTAGCTGGAGGTATTGGTGATCCACTGCTACTAGACACGGGAGCCCGTTAGGCGAAAGCTTCTTCTATTCCGTCCACAAACACTTGGACCATTTGAATCTGGTATTGTAGACGGACACCAGGTTTCCATTATTAGGACAATTTCCAGCTTGGTAATTAAGGCAGTAGCTTTTAGTCCTGCCATTTTATCACTTAAAAAGCGTTCATTAATAAGCAAAACAATGAACGAAATATGGTTACTTAAATAGTGGTCCATCACAGTGTCCGTACCTATACGACTACATGTAACTTGAATGCCTAGTTTAAGTGGCTATACAACGAGGTTGATCGGTCGACTAGATGGGCATTTAGCTGTTTTCTTGATGGCCACGGGACTAGATATTCGTACAGCTTATCAGTGTTACACATGCAGTCACGTTACTTTAAATCTCCTACCACATTTGGCATTGAGGTGTTATCCCGTTTATTCGATTTGGGAAGCAGGGTTATTTCTAGGTCTGTGATATTGACAGGTAGTGCTGTGCCCAGCCTAGGGGTTTAAACATTCCGTATATCTATCAAAATTCATGGCGCGCATGCATCAGAGGGCAGCTGAACTGAATAGGCCGCCGATACATATCAGCAACTGTGACACTATCCCCATGATCAAAAGACCAATAAACTTTGTTTCAGACTATACATAGCATCATGAACTATTCCTAGAACTTGTACACGAACCTGAGACAAAGTCTAATGGACCACCTAATATATAGACCGATCATAAATATATCCGAGACACAGTCAGTAATATACGTATAACTAAATATAACGATACATTCCCTTCGCCCAGTATTCATTAGGAAGAATAACTTATGCTCTTCGACCTCTGTTATGACGTTCATTTATTTGCGAAATCTCCGTCGACAATTGATGTTACTCGTGGCCCATCGAATATCATGTAATAAGATCACCAATCAGAACACGACCTATTAAATCGTAGCACTGTGCCAAACCATTGAAGTGTTTACTGGTACAAGAAACCTAGTGCACTTTTGAGTCCTTCTTGCCTAGTCCTGGATGCTGAGTCCAGAAGACTAATATTAGCTTATCGTGTATCAAAAAAATACATCAGACATACTTGGTACACACACAAGCAAACCAGACCACAGTCAGTCATTCTGTAAATAAAACGGACACGTTCGTACGCAAGTTTATCAGTGTAAGTTGCCGTACCACATTAGCACAGAGACACAATTGTCTATTCAAATCACGTGGTGGTAGAGGTGGTAAAAATATAGGCAGTAATCGGAAAGGTTAGGGTTTGAAAATGTTGTTCAAGGAGTATAATCCAGTGGAATAAATTTGCTTCTGTGTATCAAGCTTGTGCCTTGATTTTTATCGCTCATTTTTGGCTGAAGTTAAATTCTGTCTTCCTGTTTTTCACTTCTTGAATCTTGTCCATGGTTTACTAATAATGTGTTATATGCATCTTTGCAAAATGTAAATAGTTCTTAGCAAAACGGGAAATTTTTTTCACTTAAGCGCCCTAACTAAGCCATTTAAGCAGTTACGGACTCTAGTCAGTATTACATCGAGTGTAATAATTGGTCAAATAAATGTAGCTTCGCTGTTTACTGACACCCAAAACAGTACTTGTATGACATCCAAACGGGAAAAGCACATTTTCCAAGGATTGATGGTTAAGATTTATTTATTTGTTTTGATGAGATTTCAGTAATATTTATCACAATGCAATTTTTTCATATATCAGCCTTCAGGAAATCCGAAAAGTATGGATATTACGTTGGACTCTTTAGTAGGAAATCAAAATATCACCCAAATAGATCTAAGGCCGAAACCACCTGTCTATGTATCACGTTATGTGCAGACAATGTATCGTGATTCAGAGGCGCAAACTGACCCATATTCTCCATTGTATGTTGTTAATACAGGGGAAAACCTTGAGACACTGAAATTAACTTCGTTGAGTTATGGATATGGACTTCCAGTCGGATTATTTGATGTTGAAAGAATTGAACGTGCAAGACAAAGACGAGAAATTGAAGCAAATTTACCGCCGTATAAAGATATTGCAAATAATCTGGTACAGATTGCCAAACGACGTAAAATTTTGGAAGGTTTAGAAAATCGTGAATGGTACTTCAGAGAAAGAGAGGTTGAAGCGTAAGTCAGTCAATTTATTATTACTAAGCTTTTCCAGTCATGTAATTTATGGACGAGGAATTCACTTTAAAAAGCAATTTTCGTTCCTGATAAGTAGAATTAAGGAAACAATGAAACTAGAAATTTGTAAAAGTTTGTTATACCGTTGTCCTGTACTCATCAAGAGCCCTAAAACGTAGGTGTGGTTTAAATCTCAGCTTATCCAACTTGGTGCTTGAGTCTGATTAGGTTTTACTTTCTTCAAATTGATTGAAGCTGAAACTCTGGTCACATATTTAGTACTTGGTACGAGGCATAAAGGTCTTGGCTTGAGTTGCCGTTAAAGCTGTAGATATTCATTATTGAACGCTCCCAAATTAGTAAAGATGCCACAGATATTCAGAGTTTGACAACGCCTTTACACATGACACCGTCCCAATTAAAGTATGCCAACCCAGTCAAATCAGAAATCAGAAATGAAGGTCAGTCAGTCAGTCAATAACAACGTAGAATTCCGTACGTACATACGTCAATTTAAGTTGCCATACCACATTAGCACAGAGATACAATTGTCTATTCAAATCACATGGTGGTAGAGATAGTAAAAGTATAAGCAGTAATAGGAAAGATTAGGGTTTGAAAATGTTGTTCAAGGAGTATAATCCAGTGAAAAAAATTGGAAAGAGAATAAAGGAAGGGAGATGAAAAATTCAGACAATTAAAATTTGCGAGAACACAAAAGTGGATGCACCTGCAATTTTGCAAACGATTTTGAGTCATTTCATTCAAGGTTTCTGACCGTCGGTTGCTATCATCTCGCGGATCCCAACCAGGTAGTCTACACCTATAGACACTGCTCAGTCCACTTGTCAATGACCTCATGGATTTGTGCCATGTTTCGGTCTGGCCACCCCTAGCTTTCTTCCAACCTACTCGTACACCATAAAACATCGCTCGTCCGGGCAGTCGGTGGTTGTGTATACGTAACACATTCTCAGCCATCTCAACTGATGAAGTTTCACTACTTCAATTGATTTGCCGTCCCTACCTAGCATCCGTTCTCTAACAACTACATTACTTACTTGGTGGTCCCAGGATGTATGAGCAATGCTTTGAAGACATCCATGATCGAATACTAGTAACCTACCAATATCCTCTACTCTTACCGGCCATGTTTCACAGCCATAACGTAGGACGGAACGAACGGCTGCGCAGTAAACCCGTCCTTTGGTTGGTAGACGGATATCTCGCCTACGCAATAAATGACGCAAGTTGGCGAAAGTCAGTCAAGCCTTCTGTATCCGTGCTGAGGTTTCGCCACACACTAGACCACAAGGGCTAACGAGACTCCCAAGATAGGTGAAGCGGTCGATACACTCAACTACATCACTCCCCATCATTAGTTCAGGTGCCGATGCAACCCAACCCTGAAGTGACATGTTGCATTTCGAGGGGGAGAATCGCCTTCCGAACATGCTTGCATTGTTGCTTACGGTGGTCAGAAGACTGCATTTTGTCAGCGTATTCACCAAATAGAACTCTACCATTGGCATATTCTAAGTCAACAAGTGAATCGCCCGGCAAAAGTTTATCTCCTGGAAATTTAGATGGGGAAAGTATTATCTCTAAAAGCACATCAACAACAAAGTTAAGCAAAAATGGAGAGAGTGGACAGCCCTGAAGAACACCACTCGAGGTAATCAATTCTGATGACAGTTCGCCATAAGCTCTGACTCGACCAGTTGTATAGGGAGAGAGAGAGCCTGTATAAGGTTAATGTATTTCCTTGTTACTCCTTTCAGTGACAAACACTGCCATATATCCTCACTATCAACAGAGTCAAATGCCGCCTTAAGGTCAAGAAATACTATTATTGTGGGACGTCTGAATGTGTGTCTATGTTCTAGGACCTGACGTAGTTTGAATATCTGGTTTACACAGCCACATCCAGGTCGAAAACCAGCCTGATTTTTTCTAGTTCTGCTCTTCAAGAGCTTTGGTTAGGCGTCGAAATATTATTGAAGCTGATATTTCAGACAATATTATTAGTCAAACTGATTCCTCTGTGACTGTAACAAGAGGACTTTTGCCCTTTCTTATAGACTGGCACAATCAGTGGTTGAGACCACTCAGATGGGATTACATCCAGTTCCCAGATTCTACCTAAGACCTCAGTCAATGTCGCTGCTAATACTGGACCGCCATCCTTAAAAATCTCAAGGGTAAACCTGTCAGAACCTGTTGCTCTCCCACGCTTCAGATTTCCTATAGCTTTTTGGACCTTGTCAAGAGTTGGAGGACTTACATCAACTTGTCATTCAGGTTGACTGGAGATCGTGGGAAAACGGAAGTGTGGTTGAAGGCCAGTTTAACTGATCCCTAAAGTGTTCTGCCCATCGATATAATCTCCTCAATTGAGAATGAACAATATGTCCTTCTTCTTCTGAAATAGTTCGCTAACAGTCGGGTTCCTAATATCGGTTTCCTTGAAAATTCTGAACAGTTGTTTGCTGTTACCTATTGCCTCTGCCTTTTCCATCTCTCTTGCTTTCTTTACCCACCACTGTTCACGATCATTGCGTAGGCTCCTTATCAGCCTGCGCTTAAGCTGACTTCGCTCTTCGTCATGTTTAGAGCCAGATGGGATGAGTTTTCGAGCATCTATCACTGCGGTGGATGCTGCTCAGACCCAGTATTTCTTCCTAACCTTATGGTTTACTGTGCTAGCAGATATCACTGCTGTTTCCACAGCTTTTCAGATATCATTCCATGCTGCCTCGGGGTGGACATCACTTACATGGCTGCCTAACTGTTTTTCTAGTTGTTCCTGAAGTATATTCGTAGCTTGGCTATCATTGAGTAGAACCCTAAGAGGTTTCCTTGAATCGTCTTTCCTACGTCCAGTGAGACGCAGACAAATACGCGCTCGCACTAGAGCATGATCTGGATCTAAGCATGCGCTCCAAAACGAGCGACAGTCTTCTATCGAGCCCCTCCATCGGTGGCTGACAGTGACGTGATCTATTTGGGTCCAACGTTGGGACGAATTAGGGGGTCTCCATGTTAAAAGATGTTTTTCCTTATGCTTAAGGTTAGCATTCGCTAGAAACAGGCGGTTATCTGAGCATAGCTGCATTAGACGATCGCGATTATCTGTTCTTTGAACCACGACACCATAAGATCCACTCAGTTGTCCTTGCTTTTCGCTTAATTTATCTAAGTGTACATTGAAGTCACCAACCACCATTACTACATCAGGTCACCTAACGTTTTGAAGGTCAGAAAACTTTCTGTAAAACTCATCTCTCACCTCATCTGAGCTGGAGTCAGTGGGAGAGTAGACAGAGAGGACGGAGAGGCAACAACGAGTGTCCTTATCTTTCCGAGTCCTTAATGTTCCGTTTAGTTGGAAAGCACGCAAGCAACTGTCTACTGGGATCCAGTCTAAGAGAGTTAGTTCTGCCCTAGGAATCATTGCTATACCTACACCAGCGAGGCCACGGAAAGCAGCATCAGAGCTTTCACATAAACGAGGTGTGAATCGAGATGGTTCTTTATTTTGACATAGTGAGGTTAGATGAGTGACGCTACTCGGATCTTGTATGTGCGTTTCGGAGACGCAGCATACGTCGAGTGTCCTATTTGGCATAGTGTTCGGAACGTTAAAAGCCCCTGTATGTAGCTTATAGCGTGGTTTCAGGAGAGCAGAAATGATGTTCCGCGTACTCGAATCGTTTGCAATGTGATAAAGGGTTAGTCGTGAAATACAGGAGTTATTAGAAGGTATAGGAAGGATTTGTTTGTGACCAACATGGTCTCGTGTGCTGTCCCGAGAATGAGAGTCGATGCCACATCTTTTCTGCCCGCGTGGTGGAAGGATATTTCTTGAGGAACCTGAAAATGAAATTGGATTAGTTTTGACCTTAAAGACCTGGGAGCGTGGCCGTAGAGCCCAAAGTACAACCGCTTGAGGCCGGTCGCTCACTGCTCTTTTGTGGAGGTTGTAGAGTTATGGTCTACTATGATATTAGTACTGCTCTAACAATAGATCTAATCGCAAAATTGTAGATTTGTCACTATATAACTGCCTAATCTATAAGATCTTAAGTGAAAGTCACACCATCGACTACACCAACTCACTGTATCATATCAATTGCTAACACATGATGTAGAACAAGGCTAGGCTAGAGAAGGAACAATATATTTAACATGAATAGAAGATATAAGAGAACATTCAGAGGGACCACGCCTGCATGGCCGAGCCATGCCATCCGATCAACTCCAATTCCTTCAATACATTCTTCCCGCCTTCTCCATCGTTAGGTGTTTCTCTGCATTAAATATTGAATATCTATTTTCCCAGTTGTCTTGTGTTCAGCTTTGAGGATTTTGTGGTTATGGTTTAATGCCACTACAACGTTTTTAACGTATTGGCTCCATTATTCAGAAGGCCTCACCGTCGTAAACGGGAATCCGTGAGGTAAGGTGAGATGTGACATTTTTGTGCTTGACCTTTTCTAACCCCTTCCTCCTTTGTGAGAATGCAGCACCATTGCGGATGCTAGTTGTCCGAGTGGAACACCTTACTGCTGTCACACTTCTCTACAGCCAGTAGTACAACTTCGCCCTCAGATCTAGAGTTGCTGTTTTAGGTCTCACCGTTTTCCAATCGACCTGCCTAGCATGGTAGAACCTACAGGAATATATGTTCCAGCCAATACGGCTTATTTGGGTCATCGCGATAGGCAAACTCGATCACCACATCAAGATAGCAGCTACGGTGAGGAAACCAGATTATATCATACCATAAAATAAAAAAATAACAATTATACATTATCGACCCCGAAAGTGGCTGTGATCATGAGAAACTGTAATCAATATATTGGGAATAAATTGTAGTGGAGAACTATCTTACAATCACTCATAGTAACTATATCAATTATGAGAACTAATGAATGAACTGCAAATATTATCAAAATCTAGTTACATAATAAGTCTGTCCTAACTATCTCCACAAACTTAAGA